CCCGTTTCCCCTCCTCCCTCAAACCAGGAGTCCCGACCCCAGCCCTTGCATTCTCTCTGCAGATGGAGGTAGAGGTGGCCCTGCTGCGGGGTGAGCTGGCTGGGGAGCGTGTGGCCGCCCGGCGGGAGGAGGAGCAGCTCCGGGAGCTCCTGGGGCAGCAGGCAGACCTGGAGCAGGGCAGCCGCGAGCAGCGGGAACAGGTGTGTGTTTGATCCGCAGGCTGTGTATCAGCCGGCTCCTCCCTAGCTGGATAATCTTGGCAGTACTCCTGGTAATCTGGGTTCCAGGTTCCCCAACCTGGGAGGTGAGGGGCATAGCTCCCGTTTCTATTCTTCCTCTTTCCCTGACAGTTTTTGTTTTTTTTTAAATCTGTTTCATTGGGACTTCTCCTTTGCCTGTCTCTCTTGCTCTGTAAATGTCATAGATGATTTCAAACCACAAAAACATTGTGTGGGTATGTGTGTGGTGGGGGGATGGCTATGCTCACTGGCTTCAACCATCAATCTTTCATTCTTGTTTTATGCCCCACCCCACCCCCTTTGGATTCCCTGTCCTGCATCTTAAAAACCAATCCCAGATACCATGGTGGTGGTGGTGGCAATGTGCTGTGGAGTCGGTTCCGATTCATAGTGACCCTATATAGGGTTTCCTAAGCTGTAGATCTTTAAGGGAACAGAAAACCTCATCTTTCTCCCAAGGGATGGCCGGTAGTTTTGAACTGCTGACCTTGAGGTTAGCAGCCCGACTCATAACCAGTATACTACCAGAGCGCCTTCCAGATACCACAGTGCCTATATAATGTATCACTTACAGATAAGAGTAAAAAACAATCACTGTATTATTTGCATACTTAAGTAGTTCATAAATTCTTAGGGTTACATTAGTGTTGTTGAGTTGGTTCTGACTCATGGCGACCCTGTATAGGGTTTCCGAGGAGCAGCTGGTGGGTTTGAATTGCTGACTTTTTGATTCGCAGTCCAGTGATGATCCTCCAGAGCCACACCAGAAGTCCTAAATTCTTAGTATTGGATGATAGTCCACTGTTTTTCAGGTGTCCCAGATTGTCTCAAAAATGTCTCTTAATGGTTGGTTTCACTTTGATCCCGCAAAGCCTGGCATATTGTCACCGGTAGATATGTCTTATGAGTACCTTTTTTTTTTTTAACCTAATGCTTTCAGTCTCCATACTGTTTGTTGGAGATTCCTAGTAGGTCCCAAGGTTGGGATTTGGATGGCTGTATGCTGGTGGCAGCATATATTGTGTTCCCCTGTCCCCTGGTGGTTGGATGTACAGGCTTGATCAGATTCAAATTTGTGTCGGGGCTTCTGGTGCATGCTGTTGGGGAGGACAGTGTGTCTGGGTGTCCAGACCTCAGGTCACCCTGATCATTCCTTTAGAATCTTGAATGACCATCACCTGCAGTCAGTACTTGGATGGAATGTTTCATTGCAGGTCGGGAAATGATGAATTTTCCAAATCTATCGTTTTTTTTTAGACATATCTCTTATCCTGACATTTCCTGGGGCTGGATTCTGAGGCCTCATTTACTCGCAAACACCAAACTCACTGGCATTGAGTAAATTCTGACTTAGAATGACCCTGCCTAAGGTTTTTGAGGCTGTAATCCTTTATGGGCGCAGAAAGCCTTATGTGGAATGGTCGATGGGTTTGAACTGCCGACCTCGTGGCTAGCAGTGCAGTGCTTATCCTACAGGGCCATATCCAAGTAGCCCCTATTTCTCCCTGTCTGAGGTCTAGTCCTATGTGTCTTGCTTACTAGATACTTGGTCTTCCTTCAGGATCTGGGAGTTCATGCCCAACGGCCCAGCTTCCCTCCTCCCTCCTAGTCACTATCCGAAGCTGACTTCAGAACTCCTTGTGCTGATTGTCCTTTTCGTCACAGGCCAGAATCTCTGGCCTTGCCCTGACTTCCTGCTATCCTTCACCCACAGACCCATCAGCATCATCTTACAGCCTTGGACCCAGGTTGGAGCTCCTCCTTACTGCTTGGAGGACTCATGAAAACCTTTCTTCCTGGCCTCAGAGAGGGGCTTCCAACCTGGATCCTACTCCATCCATCCTTCTCTTGCTCCTAATCCTACTGGGGCTCCCCAGTGGCCCCAGGATCAAGGCTCCTCAGCCTGGTTTACTAAACCCGATTCAAGCTGTGTCCCGTCCCCCTTCCCACTGTGTTCCCCATCTCTATCACACATCTTCTTCACCCTGGCCAGAGTTTGCCCCCAAACTTCCCATGCTTTTCAACCTCCATGTATTTGCCCCAAATGCCCTTCTAACCTCTTCAATTGCCTCAGGTCTAAATACCCTCTGATAGATACATAAGGAGCTCTGGTAGTGCAGTGGTTACGAATCAGACTGCGACCCTCACAGTCAGCAGTTCGAAACTACCAGCTGTTCCATGGGAGAAAGATGCAGCTTTCTGCTCCTGTAAGGATTTACAGCCTCGGAAACCCTGTACAGGGTCACTAGGAGTCAAAACCGACTCCATGGCACATAACCACCACCACCACCATATACATATATATTTTTCCTAACCATCACTATTTTCAAAATGTTTTCATCACCTCAAACAGAATCTTTTACCATGAAAGCGTCACTCTGGGAAAAAGATGAGGCTTCCTGTTCCCATTAAGATTTAGTTTCCAAAACCCTGAGAAGTGGTTCTACTCTATCCTATAGGGTCGCTGTGAGTTGGAATCGACTCAATGACAGTGTACCTAAAATAAAAAAAAAGTCTTTGTTGTTGGGCTGTCGGAGTTTTTCATGTATTCTGAATGGCAAACATTAGCTAGCAGCATGCCAAATATCTTCTCCTGTTCTGTATGTTGTCTTCTCACTGTCTTTTCTTTTGTTTCTCAGGCTTTCAGTATTTTTTCTAAGACTCCATTACCATTACAAGATCTGGAAGACTCACCCATATATTTCCAAGCATTTTAAAGCATTAGCTCTTGTATCTAGGTGGTTCATTAATTTTGAGTTCATTTTCATGCTCCTAGATTTTTGAAGTTTATTTCAAAACCCTGGCATCCAGGAAGCCTTGGATCTCTGCAGGGGAAATTGCTTCCTCCTTTGGGTTTCCATAGGAGCCCTAGTGGCCGCTGTAGGATAAGTTTTGGATTGCTAATCACAAGGTTGGTGGTTCAAACCCACCATCAGCTCAATGGGAGAAAGATGAGGCTGTCTGCTCCCATAAAGATTTATAGCCTCAAAAACCCTAAAGAGCAGTTTTTCTCTGCCCTGCGGGGTCACTGTGAATCGGAATTCATGCCGGTGGGCTTGTATTTTTTGGTTTGGGTTTTCATAGCACTAGTCCTGGTGTGGCACTGTGGGTTAATGTACTGGGCTGCAAGGTCAGTTTCAACCACAAGGTCAGTGGTTCAAGCTCATCAGCTGCTCCTTGGAAACTCTATACAAGGTTGCTATGAGTCAGAACAGACTTCATGGTACTTAACAAGCGCTTCATTAAAGAGCCTGGTGTGGTGCTGCCGGATAATGCACGGAACTGCAAGGTGAGTTTGAACTGCAAGGTCTATGGTTCAAACCTACCAGTCACTCCTCAGAAACATTATACAGGGTCGCTCGCTATGATTTGGAACTAACTTAACAACAATAACAGTGCTTCACTAAGGAGTCTGGTGTGATTGTAGTAAAAGTACTAGACTGCTAATTGCAAGGTTGGCAGTTCAAACCCACCAGCTGCTCCATGGGAGAAAGATGATGCTTACTGCCCCTATATTTACAACCTCAGAAACCTTATAAAGGGTTGATATGATTCAGCATCAACTCAATGGCAGTGAAAGAGTGTCTCACTGAAGCCCCTGGGTGGTACAAATGGTTAATGACCTTATCTGCTAACTGAAAGGTTGAAGGTTCGAGTCCACCCAGAGGTCCCTCAGGAGACAGGCATGATGATCAGTTTACTGCCCCAAATCTGCCATTAAAAACCCTATGGCAGAGTATTCTACTCTGACACACATGGGACCACTGAGAATCAGTGGGGTGGGCGGGCAGGGTTAGTGTTCTAAGGATAAATACTGTACTGTTAACCTTAAGGTTGTCAGTTCAAATCCACCAGCTGCTCCGTGGGAGAAAGATGAGACTGTCAGCTTCCATATAGATTTACAGCCTCGGAAACTCTATACAGGGTCGCTGTGAGTCAGGGTCGATGAGTCAGCAGGCGGGGGAAAGATGAGGCTTTCAGCTCCTCCAAACATGTAAGGCCTCAGAAACCCAATATAGGGCGACTATGAGTTGGAACGGACTCATCAGCAATTAACAACATGAGTCAGCAATGGGTTTGGTTTTTGAATTTCAGTGTCTCGTTGTCCTGATTGTCCAGCTGTGACATGTATGTGTCCTCCTGGGGCCTGGGGCTGACAGACTTCTGTGTCCCTAGTGTCCCTGGTATGAGGATGTGTTTGCATCTGTTCCTTCATCAACTGTCTACACGCTACCTGCTCCAGGACGAGGATGCACAAGAGTAAAACACGCAGACAAGGAGCTGAGTCTCAGGCGGAGGTCTGTGTCCCCGCTGCTGTTGGGCTGAGACCCTGCCATGTTCTTTCAGGAACAGAGACGGCTTAGGCAGGAGCGGGACCGTGTGGAGGGTCTTCGCCAGAGACTCCGGGAGGCCCAGGGACAACTCGATTCACAGCCAGAAGACCAGCGTGAACAGTTGCTACAGAGTGTGCGGGAGGTAAGGGTCTCCCCACTTCTTGTACCTGGGGCCCAGTGCCCAGGAGTCCAGCCCCCCAGCTCCCTGTCCTACCTCTTCCCTCAGAGCCAGGAGTCCAGGCCCCAGCTCCTCCTCCCTCAGACCCAGGAGACCCGATCTCTGTCCCTCTTCTCTCAACTGAGAAATCCACACCCCAGTCCCTTCTCCCTCAGATCCAGGAGTCTGGGCATCCTCCTCAAACCCTGCCCCCAACTCCTCCTTGCTTATTGGCCAGGAGTTCTGGTCTTGGGCCTGGAGTCTAGACCCTCCAGCTCTTTTCTGTCCTCTCCTACAGATAAGGGAACAGCTGGAGGTGGCTCAGCGTGCCTATGAGGACCTGGAGTTCCAGCAACTGGAACAGGAGAGCCGGCGGGAGGAGGAGGATCGGGACAGCCCTGGGGCCCGGGCACTGAACCCCAAGGTTCAGGAGCTCCAGGCCAGTGTGGCACAGCATAAGGTAAGTTGGGGTGATCCATCGTCACCTCGTCACCCACGTCTGTTTTCCTGCCTGTGTCACGTTCCTCTGAACAGTAACAATGATCACTGGCATTTATTGAACACTTACTATGTACGCGGCCCTGTCATACATGTGTCCTGAGTATTGACTCACTGAATGTTTACAGCAGTCCGAGGAGACAGCTTATAAGTGGTGATAGTAGTTGGGTCAGAACGTGTCTGATTTCAGGGCAGGTAATGAGAATCACCATTAGCGCAAAGCAGATTTCTGTGAGGCAGAAGTCAGACATGCCTCCACCCTCCAACCTTTTTACCTATTTTAATAGCAACGGTCCCTCCATGGCTCTCTCTACTGCTCTGCTGAATTGCATAATCCCTTCAGTGGTCACGCAGAACTGACGGACGATACTCATGACTGTGGGGCCTGTTAGGGAAGTTGATGTTGTTAGGTGCCATCGAGTCAGTACCGACTCAAAGCAATCTTATGCACAGCAGAACGAAACACTGCCCGATCCTGGGCCAACCTCACTACTGTTAACACGCTTGAGTCCATCGATGCTGCCACTTGGCCAATCCATCTTGTTGGGGGTCTTCCTCTTTTTTTCTGACCTTCCACCTTACCAAACATGATCTCCTTCTCCAGTGACTGGGTCCCTCCTGACAATATGTTTGAAGTATGAGAGACGAAGTATGGCCATGTTGGCCTCCATTTCTCTCTAAACGGATCTAATGGTTCTTTTGGCAGCCCATGATACTTTCAATATTCTCCTCCAACACCATAACTCAAAAGCATCAATTCTTCTATGGTCTTCCTTATTCACTGTCCAGCTTTAACATGCATATGAGGTTATTGAAAATACCATGGCTTGGGTCAGGCGCACCTTAGTCCTCAAGCTGACATCTTTGCTCTTCAACACTTTATAAAGGTCTTGTGCAGCAGACTAGCCTAACGCAATACGTCGTCTGATTTCTTGACTGCTGCTTCCGTGAGTGTTGATAGTTGATCCAAGTTAGGGAAGTAACAGGTTACAATTTAGGATCAGGAACAACTCAGGGCACAAGTCTGCTCTGCTCGGGCAGGTCACAGCTCTTCAGTTCTGCCGAGGGCACTCAGTGATGGGCAGGTCCATCGTGGCCACCTTGCTCCATGAGCCGGAAAGCCCAGCATGCCAACTCACGCCTGTTTTCTAGTTCTGCTGCTGCCGTTTCCCTGCCCCTGGACGCCGTCGTGCTTGCTGCTGGCCGCTTCTAGCGTCTCACACAGCCTCCTGTGTTACAGATCTGTCTAGTCTTTTAAGTCTATGAGGTTCTCAATGCAGGGATCCTGGGTCCAAAGGACACATTTCACTCGTGACTCTTATTTTTGATGATAGTGATGTTTTCCCCACGCCCCCAACCTGTGTGGAACTGGCCCTTGGAGGCTTAGTGGGCTGGCCAAATGGACCAATCCCCTCTGTAGGGGCCCATGCACCTCATTTGCATTAGCAACCCCCCACACGGGTTCCATGCACCTTATTTGCAAAGCCAGACCCAGTCACTTCATGGGAGTTACCGGACCAGCATGTAAAAGCAATTCATGGCACCACACAAATCCTATTTTTTCCGAATTATCAATGGAGACACTGAAGTTCCAGGTGTCCATGTTTCCGAGGCCACTTAGTTTGTAGCGGGTAGAAGTGAACCTGCTCAGTCTTCCCTACAGTATGTCCGTGCATGTCAACCTCTAGTTCTAGAAGATGCTCCCATCAGTCCCTTCTGGGAGCTTCCCAGTCAAGGGTCTGCCAAGTCCCATGGGGAAAAAACAGCATGTTTGACTGATGTTCTGTCGAAGAATACTGAAAGTGCAAACAAAACTGGTATAGCAGATGCTCCTTAGAAACCAGGATGGCGAGACTTCGTCTCTTGTATTTGGACAAGTCAGGAGGGACCAGTCCCTGAAGAAGGACATCATGCTTGGTAAAATGAAGGGTCAGTGAAAAAGAGGGCGACCCCCCCAAGGAGAGGGACTGACACGGTGGTAGCAGCAATAGGCTCACACGTAACAATTGTGAGGGTGGCACAGGACTGGGTGGTGCGTCGTTCTGTTGTACATAAGGATGCTGTGAGTCTGAACCAACTCAACGGCACCTGACGACAATAACGTAACAGAATGTCCCAGAATTGCTGGGGATTAAAGGCTCTGTGTGGAGTCTCCTTTCCCCGCCTCAAGTTCTGGATCCTTCTATTGTGCTCTCTTTTCCCTTTTGCTGCCTCCCTGTCTCTTCTTGTCTCCTCTCTCTGCACCTCGGCCTGTCTCTGTGGTCCACCTTGAGAAACACACTTGGTCTGTAGCTCGTATGCCTCTCTGTCCCTTTCTCACTGTCTCTTCTCTTGGTGACATTCAAGTCTCCATCTGTGAATGACACCCTCGGCCAGGTCTCCTCTGGAACCTCAAAGGGAAGAGGGAACCAGGGAGCTCAACTTGAATCCTCTCCCCTGGACAGCCGGGGCCCGGGGGCTCTGTGAGCAGGTGGCACAAATCCCAGGTTCTTAATGTGCATCTGGTTCTGGGGGAGGCTGGGCATGGGGAACCAGCTGGGAGCCAGCAGAGTAAGCGGCTGTGGGGTGCCCTGCAGCGCCGGATCCAGGTCCTGGAGGAGCAACTGAAGTCACTGGGGGAGCAGATGGCTGCTGAGAGCCGGGGACTGAGCCGGAAAAAGGAGGAGGCCCTTCAGGCCCTGACGCAGGTGAGTCTCCCGGGAGACCTGCTCCTCTGTCCTTGTTCCCTCCCCCACTTCCTGGGACACCCCACTGCTTCCCTATGCCTCAGAGGTCTCCTGGCGTCCTGGAAAGCTGTTGGGGTGACCCATTCCAACGTTGAGAGGTGGGTGTCCTTGCTGTCCTGCCTCCCCCAGGAGCGGACCCGAATGCTGGAGCTAAATCACCTTCAGGGAATACGTGGTGGAGACTTCTCTGAGCCCAACCAGGCCCTCCCTAAGGTATAAAGACTCCATGGGCCCCTAGCCTCTCCTCCCTCAGACACCCCACCCTGGACACTAGGCCCCCAACCTTTCTTCCCTCAGACTCAGGAGACCTGGCCCCTAACCCCTTCACCCTCAGACCAGGAGTCCAGACTCCCAGCCCCTCCTCCCTCAGACCAGGAGTCCTGACCCCCAGCCCCTCCTCCCTCAGACCCAGGAGTCCGGGGCCCCCAGCCCCTCCTCCCTCAGACCCAGGAGTCCTGACCCCCAGCCCCTCCTCCCTCAGACCCAGGAGTCCGGGGCCCCCAGCCCCTCCTCCCTCAGGCCCAGGAGTCCGGGGGCCCCCAGCCCCTCCTCTCTCAGACCAGGAGCCGGGCCCCAGGTTTTTCTTTTCAGAGGACCAGCTGTCTCGCCCACAGTGGAGCTTATGCTGGGAGGCTGGACAGTAAGCACAGCATTCCGGCTCTCCTCGGGCTTTAAGCTTTAGTGTTTCCATCTGACACTGGAGGCGTGGAGCGGACCATGTGGGGGCTACAGTGCCTCTTCAGCTCCCGTTTACCTTCTCCCCACCTGCTGCAGCTGCTCTTCACCCACAAGACAGACCGCCAGTTGCTGGTGCTCCAGGACCCTGCTGCCCCCTCCGCCACTGCCGCCACCTCTTCCTGCCTCTTCTCTGTCCACAGCTCCCTGCAGGTACCCACTGCCCGAGTCTCAGGGTCAGAGGGGAGGGGCTGAGACGAGTGGACCCACTGGTGGTAGGGGAGATATTCTCAGAACACCTTCTGTGGCGGGGGGGTTGGCGTCGGGATGGGGGGAGTTTACCACCAGCAGCTTTACTGAGTTCTAACTAATTGGTTATTAATGAATCCTGCTTCTTCGGTGTACTTTCCCCACCTCATTCCTTCACCAAAATGGCAGAATGGGAACATGTGCACCCAGGAATCAAATGTCACATGCTCAAACAGGGGATACGAGGGGGTTTCCAAAAGTTTGTGGAAAAATTTCATTCTCTTTTAAGTAAATTTTTTCCACAAACTTTTTGAAGCCTCCTTGTATTGCTAAGAAGTTCTCCTCCCTCACTGGTCCACAGTCTTCCCCGCCACACACACCGGGCAAACCCCGACTTTGCCCTGCCCCAGTAACACTGTGCCTACTGGGGTCCTAAGTATCCATCCGACCTCCTTAAAAGTGGGGTTCGCAGCTTACACTTGGATCAAAACATGCATTTATTTAGTTTCCTTTTTTAAAACAAGTAGAAGTTTAGCCACTGAAAGAAATGTTGATCCTATCTCAACATTTTCTTCTCTCTCAAAAGGGGGTGATTTGGGTTTTTGTCTTTAATGAACTAGAATAGGAGATGTCCGAATTCTATGCCTGAAGTAGAGTGAACTGTGGATGAAAAAGGGCTTTACTTCAGTTATGTGGCGACATGGTGAATACTTAGAAGTTGGTAGCTCTCAGATCATGTGCTTTTTTGTCTTCTGACTTTGTTGTTGTTAAGTGTTGCTGAGTCAGTTCCGGCAGTGGGTGGTGAGTTTCGAATCACTGACCTTGCGGTTCTAACCGACGTTGCGGTCCAGTGCTTGTCCTACAACATCACACAGCAGGACTCCCACCTACTTAACTGGTTGCTACTTTTTTGACTCTATATTATATTTTGGAGATCATTTCTATGGATACATTTCAAAGTTGCTCATCATTTTTAATGACAATAAGAATGACAAAAATAACCGCCCAGATTTATTGAGTCCTTCGAGTATAGCAGGTACTGTAAGAAATGCTTGACATGAATTTATTCATTTGATTTTTGCAACAATGCCACAAGGTGGGTTCTCTTATCTCCGTTTTGTAGGCCAAGAACCTGAGGCAGAGAGATTAAATTACTAGTAATGAGGGGGCTTCAAAAGTTCATGGAAAGACGGATTTGAAAGAGAAGGGAAGTTTTCCATGCACTCTACTCTGTTTTCTTCCTGGTGGTACACTGTTCTAACTTGTGGACACGGAGCTAGCCTTCCTTCTGCAGATGAGGGTTTAAGGTTTTTACACTTTGAGCAATGCTGTTAGGAGTGCGTGGGTGCACGCTTTTGTACCAGCCAGTTCAACAGTGGCTATTGCTTTCAATTCATGGAGAGACCCACCCCCACCCCCATGTGTGTCAGAGTAGAACTGTACTCCACAGGATTTTCAATGACTGATTTTTTCTGAAATAGATCACCAAGTCTTTCTTCTGAGGCCCCTCTGGGTGTACTCAAACCTCCAACCTTTGAGTTAGCAACTGAGCTTGTTAACCACTTGCACCACCCAGGGACTCCTTACTATTCATTGTTGTTGTTGCTAAGTGCCATTGAGTCAGATCCGACCTATAGCGACGCTGTATAGGGTTTCCGTGGAGCGGCTAGTGAACTTGAACCACTGACCTTGCAGTTCAAATGGCTTTGCAGTCTGGCGCATTAACCCACAGCGCCACACCAGGACTCCAAATAAGTTACTAGTTAATTAGTGTTGGGTAAGATGGAGGGTCAGAGAAAAAGAAAATGACCCCCAAGCGAGATGGATTGGCAAAGTGGCAGCATCAATGGACTCAAACGTAGAAACAGTAGTGAGGTTGGCCCAGGATCGGGCAGTGTTTCGTTCTGTTGTGCATAAGGTCACTGAGTTGGTACCAACTCGATGGCACCTAACAACAACAACAACAACAGTTAATTAGTGAGAAATGACATATATCATGTAAAATGTTATTATAGATTTACCATATAATGGTAAACATAGCGATAACATTCTAATATGAGAATATTAGTCGTAAATAATGATGAATAATAGTAAGGCAAATAATATTCTATTAATTATTAGATATTATTGTTCATGATATTGTTGTGTTGTTGTTAAGTGCTGTCGAGTTGGTTCCAAGGCATAGTGACCCTGTAATGGGTTTCTGAAGCTGTGAATCTTTGCAGAAGCAGAAAGCCTGTCTTTCTCCCATGGAGTGGCTGGTGGGCTAGAACTGCTGACCTTGTGGTTTGCAGGCCAGTGCTTATCCAACAGAGCCACTACACTCCTATTTCATACAGTTGTTAAGTGCGGTTGAGTAGATTCCGACCCATAGCGACCCTTTATAGGGTTTCCGAGGAGCAGCTGGTGGGTTTGAATCACCGACCTTGTGATTTGCAGTCTAGTGCCAATCCTATAGCGCTACTCCTATTGTTAATATGTTTAGTATGACATGGTGTTTGTTATATATCATTTGTCGTTCATTAACTTACTAATTGTTGTTAATTTACTAATTGTTGGTAAGGGTTGGTAACTGTTGTTGTTAAGAGCCGTCCAATCTCTTCTGACTCATATGGATGCAGTCTTGGGTTTCCAAGGCTGTGAATCCCTGTGGGAAAAGAAAGCTGCATCTTTTCCCTGCAGAGTAGCTGGTGGGCTTGAACCGCTGACCTTGTGGATAGCAGTTCAGTGCTTAACCTACAGAACCACAACACTCCAATTTACTAATGGTCTATTATTAATACTAAGAATCAGTTCTGAGAGCTTTTTATAGGCCAGGAGCTGATGTAAGCCGAGCGCTATCATGAAGAGTTGAAAATGTTATACTGGTGACAGTTTGGCATGATTCAACATAATCTATATAATCTCATTGTCTTTGCTGAGAAGAATTCTCAGAAGTAGGTCGTTATTATCTGCATTTGGGTAGAAGGTTACCAAAATGCTTTCTTCTTGTGTGAGAAGAATTTTAGCGTGTATGAGAACATTCTAGCTTGTTCCCCTAGAAACCATATAAGGACGGAGTGTCAGTTCTATTAGCAAACGGCATAGTACAGATACCTGGTGGTACGCTGTTTCCTGAGTTTTTGGCTACTGTGGGACAAGGGACCTGTATGCCCAGGTGGACTCCATCCCCACCTAGGTGGATCCTGTTAACACCTGGATTGTCGATTGGACCCAGACATTGGTCCCTGGACACTTGTCTCTGTGCCAGGCACTCTTAGGGGCTTCAAAAAGCTTATAGAAAAATGGAGTGAGAAGATATTTTCCACGAACTTTTTGAAGCCCTCTCCTATGCTTTGTACAAGGCCACTCATTTAATCCTTGTAACAACCCAAGGAAAGGGAGGGGAGGGATGTCACCCTCCTTACCGAGAGCACACACCACCCCAGGGAAGAGACGTGACTTGCCAAAGTCACACAGTTAGGAAGTAGAGGGGCTAGGATTTGAACCCAGAACCCAGGTGGCTCTGTGCCTTTTGGGAAATAAAGATCTCCCACGGTTCCTTCAGAATTCAGGTGAACTCCCTAGCTAACTCAAGTTCCAAGGGGGCAGCTGGGGACACATAAGGAGCCCTGGAAATGTGTATTTACTCAGCCAGATAAACAGCAACTAAGTGAATAAATGAATACCCTCTGTGTGCCTCCCTCCAAGTTGTGTTAAACCCCTCTTAAACTTCACCCCTTCTCTCCAGTGACACTGAAGAATCATGACTCTGCTTGGGTTCAAATACCTGCTCTGATGATACTGCTTAGCTCAATGACCTTTAACATTTAACCTTTCTGAGCCTCAGGAGGACCCCTTTCTCCCAGCTGCAAAATGGGGATGACAATAGGGCCATTGGTGAATGCTTTAAAGAGCTTAGCTCAGTGCAAGTCACATAACTGGTGCACAGTAAATGTGAGCTGCGGTTACTATGGTGATAATTACAGCTAGGAGCATCTAGGCAAGGACCATCATCTTTGTTCCACCCACCCCCAACCTCATCTCTGGCTGGCGCCACCAGGCACCAGCCTCCTCACCAGTGTCTTCATCTTCATCTCGGTCTCCCAGTAGTCTGTTCTTCATACAACAGCCAGCATGGTTTTGACCCCATCGAATGCTCCAGTAGCATCTGTTCCAGGCTCTTATACCTATGGCTTGCTAGAGCTCCTGCTCTGGTCTTGCCCACCTCTCACCTCTATCTCCAGGCTCATTCTGCTCAGCCACACTGGTTCCTGCCTCAGGGCCTTTGCACCTGCCAACTTCTCCACCTGGAACATCAGTCCCCTCAGGCTTCCCCTTGCCAAGTCTTATCCTTTAGATCTTAGCAGAAGGCTGCTGGTAGTCTTCCCGTTGGAAGATGACCTTCTTCTATGACATGCTGTGCTCTTCCCTCACATATGTTGGTTTGTATGAATGTCACACAGACAAGAATTGGTCCTATGTTGTTCACCACAGTTGTGTCAGCTACTGATTCAGGATGACCCCATGTACAGCGATCACCGGTAGAGTACAATCCGTAGAGTTTTCTTTCTTTTTTGAAAAATGTTTGTAAGTGGCTTTATTTATCATCACTAAGATCTGCAACTCAATGTCAGCAGTTTGAATCTGCTAACCGCTCCAAAGGAGAAAGATGAGGCTTTCTGCTCCCATAAAGATTTATAGCCTCAGAAACCCTATACAGGGTCACTGTGAGATGGAAGGAACTCGACACCACACAGTTACCACCAGCCACCAAGATCTGCAAATAACCTAGCTGCCCCTCAGTGGGTGAACTGACAAACTGTGTGTGTTACATCCACACACATAGGAACACCACTCAACAACAAAACGGACGAATTCTTGATACATGCAACATGGATGCAGCTCAGAGGTCTTGTGCAAGTGAAGTAGCCAACCTGAAAGGCTATATACATTCCATGTGCTTGCACTTGTTTGACATTCTGGGAAAGGTAAAACAATAAAGGCAGAACACATCAGTGGTTTCCGGAGCTGGGGTGAGAGGAGGGTTTGTCTACAGGGCAGCACACGAATGGTTTCTAAGGCGATGGAGCAATTCTGTCCTCTAACTCGGATCATAGGGGTTTTTTTTGTTGTTGTTTTTTTCTTAGCCTACTCGTAGTCAACATATCTTCTTTTTAATGTTTTATTATGAATTATGTGGTAGTTTACATGGGAGAACATTAGTTTTACATTCATTCTATCGTATATCATTTCATTGCCAGGGTTACAATCCCCTCCATGCAACCCTTCCCCCCCCCATACCCCCCAGGTCTTCAGCACTCAGTCGCTTTCCCTCTCTGGATCTAAAGTCTCCAGCTGCTCCATCACTCCACGTCATCATCTCTGGCTCCATCTCAGGCATCACTGATTCTCTGGGTAGGGGATCATAGGGTTTTCATTAGCTGATTTTCAGAAGTAGTCTTTCTTCCAAGTTCATCATATTCTGGAAGCTCCGCTGAAACCTAGTCAGCATCATAGCAAGATGAAAATTTCCACAGGCAGTGGCAGGAATTAAACCTGGGTTTCCTGCATAGGAGGCCAAAATGCTGCCGCGTAGCCGCCAATACCTGGGTCTGTCTTACCCACCTCTGTGAATAAAGTCCCTGAGTGGTGCAAACGATGTGTGCCTACTTTACCAAGCATGATGTCCTTCTCCTAATAGCATGTCCAAAGTAGGAGAGACGAAGACTCACTGTCCTGGCTTTGAAGGAGCACTCTGGTTTTACTTCTTCCAACAAGTACTACTGGTGGTCCGTAGTACTTGCAGTTGCTGTCTAGTCAACTCCGTCTCCTGGTGGTCCCACATGTATCAGAGTAGACTGTGGTCCATATGGCTTTCAGTGGCTGACATTTTGGTAGTAATCTCCAGGACTTTCTTTAATTAGCAGATGATAGGGTTTGCATTACTCTGGGCGATGCTGACCAGATTTCAGCGGAGGTTGCAACTAAGACAAACCAGGAAGAAAAGCCAGGCAATCTACTTCTCAACATCAACCAGTGAAAACCTTATGGAGCCCAGTGGGGAGGATGGGTAGTTTGAATAGGACCAGGCAGTGGGAATGGGGTCCCCATGAACCGAAGGGCAACTTGATGATGACTCACAACAACAACATTGGATTAATTCACAGACGAGGGAGCTTCAGAAAACTCTGGGAGGAATTCTATTATCTTTTCATTCCATTTCTCCATGAACTTTTGATGCCCCTTCGTATAATACAATGCACCCATTTGAAGTATACTTGGTGGTTTTTAATGTACTCAGAACCTGTGGAACACCGCCACGCAACATTCTAGAACCTTCTCATGATCCTCAGACAGAAAGTGCACCCCCACAGACATCATTCTGTAGCTCCCTGATTCCTTCCAGCCCCTGGCAAACATGAATTTCCCCTCCTGTCTCCGTGGCTTTGCCTGTTGTGGATATTTCATCTAGATGGATGAATCCAGCACATCCTTTGTGACTGGGGTTTTCAGGGCTCATCCTTTTTGATGGTGGTTTCACTCGGCTTCTCCCTGACATCAGCTTCTCCCTGACTTAGCATTGAGGTTGTCTTGTGTGTCTCCAGGGCTCCATCGGCCTCCAGAGGACCGGAAGCCTGCCCCGCAGGAGAGGAGAGAGGGCAAGCCAGAAAGGATCCCCCCGACCCTTGTCCCTCCATTGTACTGGTGAGGACCCTCCCCTTCCCTACCTATTCCAGCCCCCCACTTCACCACCTTTCCTGTAGTAGGGAAAGGAACCCACAAAGACACCTGCCGGGAAGAAGTGAAGATGCTTTAATTAAGCAAAGCAGTGTCCAACCCCCTGACCTGACTCCCTCTCCCCCAGGACCCCTGGAGGCCTCGGCTCTTTCACCAGCAGTAGGGGATTCTGGGAGACACCCCCTCTATCAGCTGCTGAACTGTGGCCCTGGGAATAGGTGAGAGGTCAGAGAGAAAGGGGGGAGATGGGAGGGAAACTGAGCTGCTCTAACCCCCCCTGGGCTCCGTTCTCTCCCTCCAGCTGTGGGGGTCTCCACCCAGACATCGCCCGCATGGAGCGGCTCCTGCAGCAGGCTGTGGCAGAGAGGGAGCGGCTGCTCAAGGCCAGGGTGAGACCCCACATCCTCTTCCCCAGCCCCCCTTGCCCCAGGAGTCTAAAGCCTGGAAGTTTCCTCCCTCAGACCCAGGAGTCCTGACCCCCAGCTCCCTCCTCCCTCAGACCCAGCAGTTCTGGCCCCCAGCCCCCTCTTCCCTCAGGACCCAGCAGCCCCCATGTGTTCCCCCACATCCTCACTGACTGTTTCCTTCTGTACCCACAGGAAGGGACGAGAAGGAGCACAGACGTTCCCTCAGGCCCTGCGGTTCCTGCCATCATGGTCAGTCCCACCCTTGCCCACACCCTGATTCTGCCTTGCTCTCCCCTGACAGCCCTTTCATACATCTCCCTCTCCCTCTACCCTGGGAGAACAGACAGCATGGCATGCTGACATAGACAGGGGAAGGGGAAATGAAAAAAATTCAGTCATCTGTGTCCTCGGGTGATGATGTATAGACAACTCATACTTGCCCTTTGTTGTTGTTAAGTGCCATCGAGTCGATTCCAACCCATAGCAACCCTGTGTAGGGTTTCTGAGGAGCAGCTGGCGAGCTTGAACCACCGACCTTGCACTTGAACCGGCTTTGCAGTCTGGCGCATTAACCCACAGCGCCACACCAATGTTTTGTAAATTTCCCTTACTTTGAAATGATTGACTGACCCCTGGTGGTGGTGTGCTCTGGAGTCTGTTATGACTCACCATGACCCTGCGTGTAGGGTTTCCGAGGCTGTAAATCTTTACAGGAGCAGAAAGCCTCACCTTTCTCCTGCAAAACGGCTGATAGTTTCTAGCTGCTGACCTTGAGGTTAGCAGCCTGATTTGTAACCACTACGCTATCAGAGCTCCTTGAACTGACACCCCCCCACACCCCCTGTCTATTCACACCAAATCCTGCATCACAGTCTCTTCCACTTGCTACATGTGTGCCTTTTATATCAATGAAAAGCCTTCAAGTATTTTCTTGCACTAAAAACCAAACCAGAATCAACTTCACTGCCGTTAAGTCGATTCTGACTCATAGCGACCCTGTCTAGGGTTTCTGTGACTGTTGTAAATCTTTACAGGAGCAGACAGCCTCATTGTCTTCTGTGGAGCCACTGGTGGGTTTGAACCACTGACTTGGTGGTTGGCAATCTAGTGCTTATCCTACAGAGCCACCAGGCCTCCTTTTCTTGCACTACAGTAGGGCTAAGTAAGAACTGTTTGCACCTGCTCCAAATTGCCTACAAATATGACTTACAGAGGCTTGAAAGTGGATCTCGTCTGTAGTCTGGGAACTGGCTGCCTATAGATGTTTGTTTGCTTATTTCACCATTACAAAAATTCCATTATCCCACCTTACAAGACTCAGTAATTCCATTATATCAGAATCCACTATCCATCTTCGTGTTTCCCCAGTTGACTGAGATGTCTTTTTATTGTTGGATTATTTGATCCTGTGTCTAAACAAAATGGCCATAATGTATTTGGTTATGTTGTTGTTAAGTGCTGTTGAGTTGGTTCCAATCCATAGCGACCCTATATAGGGTTTCCGAAGAACGACTAGTGAGCTTGAACCACCAACCTTGTGGTTCAAATTGCATTAGCTCACAGGGCCTCGTAAATCTCGCTTAAGCTCTCAGCACCCTCTCCCTCCTCACCTTTATTCTCAATGTCATTTGTCTTACAAATTTTCTGGCAGTCTTGGCTTAGCTGAAGGCATCCTCATTAAATTTTATTTTTCCCAGCACTGATAGCATGAGTTGGAGTCCTGGTGTGGTACTGTAGGATAAGCACTAGATTTTACTAGGTCTGTTTGAGCCACAAGGTTGGCTGTTCAAACTCATCAGCCGCTCCTTGGAAACCCTATATAGGACGTATTTGACGGCACTTATAACAACAATAGCATGAGTCTCTTTTGCCATAAGGAATGAGGCAATTGAGAATGTGGAGGTCAGCCTTGAACCCTCCTCCTCCTCCCCAACTCACCTTCATGCAGGTATTTCCTGATTGTCAGGAAGCCTTGAAATCTTTGTTATAACCACATTTTGCATTTAATTTTTCCATCCAGTGAGCGTATGATTCGTAGCCTTCTCTTTGTTTTTTTCAGCAGTTTGTCCTTTCCCAACAATTACTTCTTGAGTGCCTATTGTGTACAAGGCCCTTGGCTAGTAACCCAAAGGTTGGTGATCCAAACCCATCCAGGTGACTCTGCAGAACAAAGGGCAGGCAATCTTCTTCTGTAAAGATTCTAGCCAAGAAAACCCTATGGAACCCAAAGTTGTACTCTGTAACCCAGGGGTGGCAGTTCCAACTCACCAGCTGCTCCTTGGAAACCCTCTACAGGGTTGCTGTGAGGTAGAACCAACTCGACAGCATTTAACGCAACAACCTCTACAGCCCATGGCTGGACTTTTTCCACCCCAACTATAACCCATAGGTTGCTGTAAGTCAGGGTCAATTCAGTGGGTTAGGTGATGTGGTTGAATGTAGTGGGCCTTGGGTTAACAGCAGAGACCAAAATGCAGGTAAATCCCCGCCCTCAGGAAGCTGGTATTTTGTGGGGGGCAGATGAGCACAGAATGTCATCAGTTAGGAAAATCAACAGCGCGTCAGATGTGGATAAGAGTCTGTGAGGAAAATAGAGCAGGAAGGACTGGGAGCTTTCTGGTTTGTTAGGTATAAGCTCTGCCTCATTCAAAATGAAACTTGCTGCCTGGTAGGTCTCAGCCAGATGGATTGATGGGGTGGCCGCAACAATGGGTTCAAACAAGATGGCCTGTTAAGAGGCAGGTGCAGGGCAGGCGGAGTTCTGTGCTGTTGTATGTAGGGACACTAGGAGTCAGAAATGACTTAGCAGCAGCAAACAAAACCAGTGTGGGTGCTCCATCTTTTATTAAACAGTCCCTCTTATGTGTAGTGTCCCCCAAGGCTGTGTCCCTGTGTTTGTGTGTAGTGTGTCTCTGGAATGTGCACTTAGAAGGGGACTTGGTGAGTTGAAAAACTTTGACAGTGGCTAACTCATCCTTGAAATGGGTACTGTGACCCCCTCCAATGTTCTGATCAGGGGCTGAGGCTCTGAGGGACGCAGGGTTCCCTGGAGGTGACCCGACGCTGCGTGGTGGAGGTGAGAGTCCTGAGTCCACCTCTGTTCTGCTCCTGGATTGGGTCCCAGTTTTGCCACCTTGTCTCTAGGAGCCTCAGTTCCCTCATCTGTCACATGGGTTGTTGCCGATTCCCCGGTACCACAAACAGTTGAGCACTTAACTACCAGCTGACAGGTTGGTGGTCTGCAGCCATCTGGAGGTGCTTCAGAAGAAAGGCCTGGTTATCTGCTTCTGAAATCACGGCCTGGAACGCCCTATGGAACGCTCTACTCTACATGAGTCAACAGGAAGGCAACTGACAGTAGTTAGCAATGGGTGGTTTGGAGATGAAACAAGAGGGTCGCCATAATGGCCTTGGCTCTGTGCCTGAAACTACAAAAACCAACCTTGGTACCACAAGTGGGTTCCAAGTCACAGCCACTGCCCCATAGTGTTTCCGAGACTGTCAGTCTTTACAGACGCAGGTCGCTGTCTCTTTCTCCTTCAGAGCAGTTGGTGGGTTCCAGCCATCCACCTTTCTGCTGGAAGCTGATGAGTTCTTCAACCAGTGTGCCCCCAGGTCTCCCTTGAAATAGGTACTGTTGCTACTAGGTGCACAACAAAACGCCATCCTCACAATTGTTACGTTTCAGCCTTTTGCTGCTCCCGCTGCGTCAGTCCATCTCTATGGGGGTCTTCTGCTTTTTCAAGACCTTCCCACAGTGACCTTCAGGGGCTGGTCCTTCCTGACATCATACCTAAAGTACAAGAGATGCAGACTGGCCATCCTTTATGATTAAGACCTCCTGGTGGCACAGTGTTTAAGGCGCTTGGCTACTAACTGGAAGATTGGCAGTTCTTGATTCAGACCCACCAGTAGCTGGAGAAAGGAGAACAATGTAACTGTTTCTGTAAAGATTCAAAATCAAACCAAACCCATTGCTCTTTGGTCAAATTCCAACTCCTAGCAGCCCTCCAGGGCAGGGGAGAACTGTCCCAGAGGGCTTCCAAGGCTGTAAATCTTTTCAGAAGCAGACTGCTGCATCTTTCTTGGCTTGTGGGGGTCAAACTGCTCTATTAGCCAAGCACTTAACCAGTGCAAAAACAGTGCTCCTCTCTGTCAAGGTTGGCAGTTTAAACCCAGCAGCCACTCAGTGAGAGAAAGCTATGACAATCTGCCCCATAAACCCAATGGGGTGTTCCTCCTCTGTCCTCTGGGCTCACTGAGTCCACATCAACTCGGTGGCTGTGGATGTAAGGCTCAGTTGGACCACGGGGCTCGCTCACATCTTTCTTGGCAGGGATTATTTGGGAAAGAGCCTGCCCTGACGTGGTGTGATCAGGGCTGGTGTGATCGCACTTTGCACCTGCCCCAGATAGGAAAGATGACACATCCAGGTGTGGCTTCTACCACCGGTGTTTGGGCTTACAGCCTGACCTTGCCTTCTCCCTCATCTCAATGTAAGCATCAGACACAACTCAAGCTGTGTGACTTGGGCCTAGTTACTTAACCTCTCTGAATCTTGGTTTGCACACCTATAAAGTGGGGAGAAATGGACTCTACCCCATGGGAGCTTGAGAGGGCAGAGAGAGTATATGAGGGGCCTGCAAAAAGTTCATGGAAAGATGGATTGAAAAGGTCATGGGATTTTTTCATGAACTTTTTGACGCCCCCATGTTGTATCTAAAGTGCTTGTGTTGGTTACTGATGGCTGATTCCAGCCCATTGTGTCCCTGTATGTGCGGAGTAGAATTCCATAGAGCTTCCAAGGCTGTGATCAGGTCTGCCTTCCAAGATGCCTCTGGGTGGACTCGATGAGTAGTTCTGTGCTGAACTGTTCCTGCTACCTGGGGACTATAAAGTGTTTGTGAGTAGGTTCTGACTCATGGCAGCTTACCAGCCAGAGCAGAACAACCCCACAGGAAGTCTGAGGCTGGAAACCTTTACAGGAGCAGATAGGCTCATCTTCCTTCCAACTGAGCGGCTGGTAGATTTGAACCACCAACCTTCTGGTTAGCAGCCCGATGCTTAAGCCTACTGTGCCACCGGGGATGAGTTTAGTGTTGAGCGTCGGCTAGTAATCACAAGAACTCCATCACCAATAGTAAAGAAAGCCCTGTTCTCATTGACTGACTAGTAACTGCTGAGTCTTGTTTTACTGAGGCAGCATGTGAGGCCCCACTTTGGGGATCCTGACTCAGGGTCCTTCACATGCCTGGCATGCCTCTGGTGTTAAAGAATGACTTCTGCTAGCGTCAGGAGGTCCTAGGTTTGAGTCCCGACTCTGCCACCTAGACGCTCTGTGTGACCTAGGACAGATTAGTTCAGCTCTTCAGACCTCAGTTTGCTCACCTATAAAATGGGTCTCCTAGTAACCAAGTTCCAAGGGTGACTGTGAGAGGTCAAGGAGCTGATGCTTGTAAAGCCCTGGGTGGCGTGTCTGAGTCAGGAAATGCGGCTGTCGGGCTCATCATCGTTGTGGTTAACACTGTTAGTTAAAGGCTTTACCCAGTATGTACACTTACACGTGGGGTGCTACCATTGGGCTCCCTTTGGGGGTGGCGCCAGGCTGCAGGATGGTCAGCTGCTACCTTCTCTTCTCTCCCCAGGCCCCGTCCACCCCCCCACTCCCACCCCGGCCTCCAGGTCCCCGCGTCCTGGATCTCCGGCAGCACCTGGAACGATGGGGCCACAACCCAGAAAACTGCCCACAGGTGCGCGTGTCGGTGGGCTGCTGCCGAGGACCCCTGGTGAAGATGGGGGGCCGCATCAAAACCTGGAGGAAGCGATGGTTCTGCTTTGATCGCCAGGCTCGGCGCCTGGCTTACTATGCAGGTAAAGCCCAGTAGGGCTGCTTCGGGCCTTGTGCCCTGGGACCTGGAAGGGAGCCCAGTCTAGAGGTCTTTCTCCTCTGGCCCCCAGCCCCCTACTCTCGTAGACTTCTGAGTCTAGGTCTCTGGCCCCTTCTTCCTTCAGGACTCTGGAGTCCAGAGCCCCACTTCCTACTTCCCCCAAGATCCAGGGGTTTGGGCTCCTAGTTTCTCCTTCCCCATAGCCCAGGAGTCTGGGTTCTCAGGCCCCTCACCTTCCAGGACCTAGAGGTCTAGACCCTTAGCTCCTTCTTCTTTATGTGACTCAAAATCCAAACCCTCAAATTCAGAAGGGTCGGCTCCCAGACTCCACTTCTCTACGGTATCCAGGAGTCAGAACCTGGGTCTCCTCCGTGCTCAAGATGCCCAAGAATCAAACCCCTAGTCTTTCCTCTCCAGAGGAATCAAGGATTCTAGTCCTCTTCCTGAGCTCTCCTGTCCTTCTCAGAGACACCAGGGGTCTGGGCCCTGATACTGTGACACCCAGTCTCCCATGTAGAATCTTCAACAGACTCACCGCTCAGCATGCTCCCTCCTCCCCCTAACTCCAGCCTCAACTTGGGCCCAGTGACCCTGTACCTACACACACCACTCCCGCATTGGCTCTGTGTCTCCCTCTCCTTCTCACCAGACAAGGAAGAGACCAAGCTCAAAGGCGTCATCTACTTCCAGGCCATCGAAGAAGTCTATTACGACCATTTGCGCTGTGCCTTCAAGGTGAAACCCTCCCCTCAGTGCTGCCCTACACCCCCCCTCTGCACCCACCTCCCCGCCATCAAGCCTTAGCTCATTCCTAATCCATCCATCCCATACGCATCCTGGGAAGAGCCTGCCACAACCCTGACTGTCCCAGGACTTGCCACCCAGCATGGACACCTGCTGGGTATTTCACTCCAGGGACCAAGACCCAAGAGCTCAAAGTCTCTGGCTCTCAGCCATTGTTGCTTTTCTTGGAGCAAATGTTTTGTTAGAGGAAACATTTGGTACATTCTGAAGCCAAACTGGGAATAAATGAGGGCAGGGGATGGACGGAGTGGGGACTAAAGGAGATGACCATTACTCAGCTCCTGTTCATACTGATCGGGTGGGAATAAGGCCCATGGTGTTAATTTATTTCTTCCCCAGAAGATTCAGGACCTTCATAAAAGTACAGTGGCAGAAATTGTTGGCAAACAATTCCGTTTTTAGAAAGCTCAGAGAGCAAACATCTATGGCTTTTTAGATCTTAGATTGGAATCTCTACTGTGTGACCTCAGGAAAGTGGCTCCCCATTTCTGAGCCCCAGTTTTCTCATCTGCAAAATGGACCCCATCCAGCCCATCATCAGGGTTATAAGGTCCAAACTGATAAAGGGGTGTGAGCAATTGACTCCGCTCTGGGGGTGGTAAGTTGATCATTGTCATTGAGTGGGCTCCTCGTCCAGCACTGTCTTGAACAATAGTCTGTTGCGACCCATAGGATTTTCACTGACTAATTTTCAGAAGTGGATCAAAACACACAAGCCACCAGTGTAAGACAGACTGACAGATGAGTGGCGGATGTTGTTAAGTACCATTGGGTCAGTTCTGATGTATAACAACCCTGTATAGGATTTCTGAGGAGTGCCTGGTGAGTTTACACCAGCATCCTTGCAGCTCAAACTGATCTTGTGACCCAGTGCTTACTGTTCCAGATCCTAGGTGACTTTCAAACCAGAAGTCCTAGGTTTTGAGAAGGCGGAATTTGAGCACCTATACTCCTAGTATGGAGTCCTGGTATGGCACTGTGGGTTAATGCACTGGACTGCAAGGTTGGCGGTTCAGGCTCACCAGCCACTCCTCAGAAACCCTGTACAGGGTTACTAATGAGTTGGAACCAACTCAGTGGCACTTACCAACAATTCCTAACATGAAACACTTGGCTCTGTAGAATAAACACTGACTGCTAACCACAGGTTTGTAGTTCAAACCCACCAGCCGCTCTGTGGGAGAAAGATGAGATTTTCTATTCCCATAAATATTTGCCGCCTTGAAAATCCTATACAGAGTTTCCATGAGTCAGAACTGATTCAATGGCACCTAATGACAACAGTAGCCTTCATAGTATGGGAGATGGCTGAGGATCTTGCTCACATTTTACTTAATGGGGCTTTTTAGAAATTAATTCTGAGTGCTTTCCTTGGTTAATTCATTGAGTCCTCACACCAACTCAATGTGTTTGGTTGTTGTTAAAGTGCCATCAAGTCAGTTCCGTCTCGTGACCTTGTTTAGGGTCTCCGAGGAGCAGCTGGTGAGCTTGAACTGCTGCCGACCTTAGGATCAAATGGACCTTGCAGGCCAAAGCATTAACCCAAAGTGCCACCCCAGGACTCCATACTAGGAGTATAGCTGGTCATTGTGTTATTTCTTTGAGTCCCCACACCAATCCATCGCTGTACAGGATCTGAATACCCAGTAAGCAAACTAAGCCTGGGATTTCTTGTGCATACCTACTAATCTGTAGCTAAGAATTTCACATCAAACATGTGAAACTGTTCACTACAGATTAGTAAATATCTACAGCTGACCTTGCTTATTGGGTAATCCGGCACGGACTGGTTAACATCATTTGTTGTTGTTGTTATGTGCCGTGGAGTCGGTTCCGACCCATAGCGACCCTATACAGGGTTTCCGAGGCTGTAAATCTTTACAGGAGCAGAAAGCCTCATCTTTCTCCCGCGAAACAGCTGGTAGTTTCAAATTGCAGTTCGCAGCCCGATTCGTAACCACTACGCTACCAGAGCTCCTTAACATCATTTAGGGAGAAGAAAATTAAGAAACTGGCCACAAAGGAGTTCTGGTGGTGCTGTGGGCTATGTATTGGGCTGCTAACCTCATGGTGGATGGTTCAAACCAACCAGCTGCCCCTTGAGAGAGATGAGACTGTCTCCTCCCGTAAAGATTTATAATCTCAGAAAGCCTGTATAGGTTCCAAATCCGCTCTATGGCAGGGGATTTGGGTTAATTTGCCACAGTGCCTGTAAGTAGCAGGCCTGAGATTCGAACCTATGGTGCTGCGGGAGTTTGTTCTCATAACCACCCCCATTCCACTGCTTATTCCAGAGTCCTAACCCCCGTCTGACGTTCTGCGTGAAAACCTACGAGCGCCTCTTCTACATGGTGGCTCCGAGCCCCGAGGCGATGCGCATTTGGATTGACGTCATTGTGACTGCGGCTGATGAGAACCACGCCCCCTGAGCGGCCCCGCCCTCGGGAGAGCTCGCCTGTAGAGCTCCTGCCCCTGCGCGCGCAAGCGCCTCGGCTTCCGAGGCCCCGCCCACTGCTGGAAAGCTTGGGCCTGTCGCTCTGGAACTCTCGGGAATTCTGCTCCGCTGCTGGTCGGCTGGCCTGAGCCGGCGGAATTGTCTGCTGTAGAGGCCTCCTGGCGCGGGATCCCGAACCCTAGGGTTGTCCCGGGCTCAAGGAAGATTGCAGGGGTGGGAAGAAACTATTTATTGGTGTTCCTGTGATATGGAATTAAACATGGAATTAAAACAGTGGTTGCTTCTGTGGTTTCCAGTCCAGGCGTCTGGTCTTGGCCCTTAGTCCTCTGAGACCAAGCGCCCTGCAGTTGGTTCTCAGTTCTAGGAACGGAGAGCTTCAATCCTTAAGTCAATGCCGTGGGAGTAGGGAAGTGACCCATTCCTTAATCTTCTGGACTGTTTGCTAGGAGTCCTGGGGGCACAGAAGGTTAGCCATGGTTAGAAAGAGGAGGCTGGCTAACCACGAGAGGAGACTCTGATAAAGGTCAGAGTCTCAGAAACCCTGTGAAGTCGTTCTACTCTGCCCTATAGGAAAGCTATGAGTTGGAATCAACTCGATGGCAGTGGATTTTTGGGGTGGGAGGAATGTAATTTGCAAATTCTAGGAGCTACCAGGCCTCCTTACGCCAGGCCTTTGCATATGTTGTTCCCTTAGGTTTTCCCAGCAAATTTCCCATTTTCCAGGTCTTTGTTCAGTTGTCCCCTGTTTTAGGACGTTCTTCCTGACTCCTCCCTACTCCCCCATCCCTGAGTATTTGGATCATCACTGACTCCTTACAGAATTGAGAACCCCATGAAAGCAGAACTATCCCCAGCATCCAAGGACACATTTCACTCCATGAAAGTCAATAAAAAATGCTTCCCTTTAATCTCTGGGGTTTTTGTATATACTATTCCCTTGCTTCAGTACTTTTCCTCACTCCACCCAACTCCTAATCATCATTTAGGTTCTGGGTGGGGAACCTTTTTTCTGTCAAAATCTATAATATTTGTGGGCCATACGAAATTAGCAACTTAAGAGTTAGTGTGCTGTATTTGGTCAAACAATTACCTCACCCCTAATGTCAACTGCTGGAACTACGGTTGCCTTGCAGGGTCAGACCAAATGATTCTGCAGATGCTGTAGGATAAGCATTCAACCACAGGTGGGTTTGAACCACAAGATCAGTGGTTTAAAAATGCCAGGCGCTCCTCAGAAACCCTATACAGGGTCACTATGAGTTGGGATCTACACAACAGCACTTAACAACATGCAGCCCGTGGGCGGGTTGTTCCGCAGCCCTGATTTAGGTCATAACTCAGATGTTTTCTTCTCCAAGAAGCTCTCCCAGATTCTCCTGGCAGAGTCTGATGCTCCAATTCAGAGTTCTTGCAGCCCTGAGCTTCTTCCTGGACTGAATTCTCTCTGCTGTGGTCCCCCTGCCCGCCTGGACCCCGCTGCCTGGGCCTCCCACACTCAGCCCTGACTACACAGGGCCATCATTACTGTCGTGATTGCTCTAGGAGCCATGGACCAGTCCGGTCTTGTTCCTAATGAGCCTAGTACAAAGGAAATATGTAATGAAGGTTTGATGGCTAATCAGCTGAGAGATGCTAAGAGTTAGGAATGGGCATGAACAAGGTAGATAAAACTTTGAGCTGACTAAATCCTTTCGGTCTCATCTTAGAAGCCCCTTCCTCCAGGCTGGGGCAGATGCTTATGAACTTCCACAGTGCCGCCCCCCCAACCCTAATCATTCTACACTGCCGTGGTCTGCAGACAGACCAATCCCTGAAGCCCCTCTGGGTCGGGTCATTGTGTCCCTCTGGTTCCCTTCTCAGATGCCAGCTGTCCAGTCTCTGATTCCTGATCCCCTTGAGGGTTCAGATATGGTGCTCTTGAGTCCTGGAATGTAGACACTCAAATCCCCAGGCCCTGTTGGCACAGTAGATTAAACATTGGACTACTAATGGTAAGATGGGTGGTTCAAAGCCAGCAGCGGGTCCTGGGAGAAAGAAAGACAGTGTGCTCCAGTAAAAAGTTCCAGTCTCCGAAGCCCTAAGGAGAGTTCTACTCGGTCCTAGACGGTGGCTGTGCGTCAGAATGGATTCAACAGCAGTGGGTTTGGTTTGGGTTTTCTGGGACCCTGGAGGTCACTAGGCCTTCACATCTCGATTCTTGGATCAATTTATCCTCCTGCCCTTCTGCTGGGAGCCAGTTTCGTGGGCATATGGTCAGTGTCATCAACAGGACCCCCATACTCAGAATGGGTTAAAATCTGCAATTCTGAAATAATGCCTGTTTTGTAAGTCAAGTCTGTTGAGACATCAGAGCATGCTAAAGGGCGGATGTGCCTCAGCTTCCATTCAGACCCACCCCCTGCCACCTCTCCTTCCTGGGCCAGGTTCCCTCAGCCTTCCCTGATGTTCCCGCCCCGTGACCACTGCCATGCCCCACACCCAGCAAGGGTGGATCAGGGTCAGCCTGTGTGCCACAGGGCATCTTGGGGTGGAGTACGGTGACTGTCAGGAAGGGGAACCCAGCCACTGGGGTTGTTCACATTGAAGGGCAGGGTCCCTCAACTGCGAAGATCTGAACTCATCGGATGAGTTGATGGATGTAATATAACATAAAATAGTAAATAAACACCATGTCAGGTTGAAAGAGTCGGGGAGAAAGCAAAGCAAGGAAGAGGCATTTTATTTTATTTGCGTTTTTCTGACTGCAATTCTTTCCTGCATTTTCATTTTGCTGTTAGTTATTAGCTGCTATTGAAGGAACCTTGGTCGCATAGTGGGTTATAAACTGAGGCTTTTTATTCCCGTAAAGAGTTACGGAAACCCTATACAGGGAAAGAGTTACGGAAACCCTATACAGGTTTGCTATGAGCTGGAACCGACTCCACGGCACACCACCACCACCACCAAGTGCTGTTGAGTTGCTTGAGGTGCCCCCTGGATGGCAGAAGGACGCATCGCCGGATCCCGGTACCATCCTCATAATCATTACTATGCTGGGCCGTTGTTGGCAGCCACTGTGTGAGGTCCTCTCAGGAGGCGTTCCCTTGTTTTTGCTAACCCCACCTTACCTAACATGATGTCCTTTTCCAGAGATTGGTCTTTTCATTTTTCAAATGATGTCGTTAACCCTGCTCCTGACCTCAGCCCTCTCCTGACACATCCCAGACAATATTTCCTAGAGGGAGTGGGTTTAGACTCGGAGCCTGCCCTGCCTTACTCACTGCTGGTCATTGATTCCTACTCACACTGACCCTAGAGGACAAAGTTAGATCTGCTCCCCAAGGTTTCCGAGATTAAATCTTTAGGGATGCAGACAACCTTATCTGGCAGGTGGGTTTGAACCTTCCTTCCACTTTTGGGTTAGCAGCCCAATGCTAAACTCACGGTACCACCAGAACTCCCTTATCTTGCTCGCTGTTGCTGTTGTTAAGTGCCATCGAGTCGGTTCTGCCTTGTAATGACCCTATATAGGGTTTCCACGGCTGTAAATCTCTGTGGCAGCACAAAGCTTCATCTTTCTCCCTTGGAGAGGCTGGTGGACTTGAACTACCGACCTTGTGGTTCTAAATCCAGTGCTTATCCTACAGAGCTGACATACTCCCTTGCCTTGTTGTTGTTAAGCGCTGTCAAGTCGATTCCAACCCATAGTGACCCTGTATAGGATTTCCAAGGAGCAGCTAGTAAGCTTGAACCACCGACCTTGCAGTTCAAATGACTTTGCAGTCTGACGCATTAGCCCACAGTGCCACAGGATAGGAAATACAGTGTGGCTATGGCCTCAGGGTTGTCTGAGGTTTTAGCATGACCTACAGATGAGGACCTTTTCACTGTCTGGCTCCTGTGTAGACAGGGGTAGATGAGATCCACAGAGCAGCCATAGAGCAGGCAAAACTGGAAGCCGTACATCCAAACTTCCCTCTGCTCTCTGGTCCTGGGCCAGGCGGGGGTCAGCTCCCAGGATCCGGGCAGGCCTGAGCAAGAGGAGACTCCCCACCCTGGGTCCCACTCCCTCCCAAGACGCTAGTTCTTCCGGTTGGGCAAGTTCTGGGTTCCTCCCTGAAACTTTCCCACGTGGCTGGGGCTTTCTGGGCCTCCTGCTCCAAAGCACACAGTAATCTGAAGAGAATCACCCTGCCTGCCCCTCACTGAGTCCTTGCTCCTAGCCCCTCAATGAGATAGGGGGATGCAAACCTAGTTGTGGGAGACAGCTGAAGTTCAGAGTGAGAGACCAAGTTACTTACAGTAACACAGCAAAGAACTAGCAGATGTAGGCTTCAAATTTTTAGTCTGTCTGATTCCATTCACTCACAAAAGACACCTTTCTTGTATTATAAAAAGGCCCAGAGAGGTCAAACAAGGTGATAGAACACATCGGCGTTAGGGCTGGGAGTCAGGAGCCAGCCCTGAATGACTTCACAAGATGCTACTTTCGCTCTCTGAGCCTCAACATGGTACCAGGTGACCCCACCTATGTGACTGAGGCGCTTGTCATTGTCGGGAGTGGGGGTGCTCACAGGGTCTGGGGAACAGGTCATATCTTTACAAACACAGCTGCTATTTTCACTGCCATCAGATAGTGGACCAGCCCGAAGGAGCTGGCTTTGACTCTTCTTGGCTCTGCCACTACCTTGCTGTGAAAACTTACCAAACATCTTCTTCTCTCTGGATCTCAGTTTTCTCATATGTGAAATGGACGCATCTCTCCACCTCCTTGTTAGGAATTCAAGGAGAGGTTGCTTGTAAGAGGTCTGAACACAGTGCCAGGCACACAGTTGGAGCGAAAGAAGTGGGGGCTATTATTAGCCAATAATAATAGCATTAACTGATTTCAACCCATTATTATTAATAATAACAGCTATTGCTTTTATTGCACTTAGTACTGGTCTTCTTTTAGGCAATTTACAGGTGTTATGACATTAGTTCTCATAACAACCTCATTTTACAGATGAAAATACTGAGCACACTGAAGTCAACTAGTTGCCCAAGTTTCACCACTGGTAACCAAGACGCCCATGTACATTTGTGTGGGTTCTTGAGCTAGACCACATGGGTTTAGCTATGGCCTCTATCACCTCTTGGCTGTGTGATTTGGAGCAAGTTGTGAAACCCTTCTTGCTTTGATTTCCCCATCTGTACAATGGCTGTAATAAAAGTATCTCATAGGGATGTTGCGTGTAAAGGATGTGGAATCGTGCCCAGCACATAGGAAGCACCGAATAAATGTGTGTTGGCATTATTTCAGTTTATAGAGGTCTTTGAATACCAAAGAACGGAAGCCCTTTGCCCAAGGTCAGTGGCAGAACTGAGACCTGAACTTGCGAACTTGAGTCTGTCTGTCAACTCAGGTTGAAGGCCAGGTTCTGGCCATGATACATTTCAGGGTTCTGGGTTCAAGTCCCAGTTCTGACACTCTTCAATTCTCATTTTCCTTACCTGTGAAATGATGCTGATTCTTCCCTTCGTAGGACAGTTGTGAGAGACAAGAGCAGCTCATAGAAAGTGCATTGCTCACAGCAGGTGCTGAGTAAACGATGTGTACTGCCAAGTGGTTCCTGACTCATAGTGACTCTGACAACGTAAAATCTTCCCCCATAGGATTTTCTACACTCTAACCCTTATAGAATCAAGTTGCCAGGACTTTCCTCCCACGGAACAGCTGATGGGTTCCAAACAAATGATGACAGTCGTACTGTGTCTATCTTACAAGACTGTGGTGAGGATTCAATGAATTAATGCATGTCCAGTGTTCACAGCAGTCTCCGGTACATAGTAAACACCAGTACTTCATCATTTGGTTATCATTGTTATTACTATGATGAACTATCCGGAAGTCATCTTGGAAACCTTCTACTGTGTCTGCCTTCACATTTGGTCCATCAGTAATTCCTGCCATTTCTTCTTCCCGGTATATTTTGGGTTTTGGGATTTTTCCCCTTTTCACCATTTCTCCCATAAGTCAGGCTACCATGATCTCCAGCCAAAGACCACATACCTGTGAACAAGTTGGATTTTTTTTTTTTTAAAGCTTTTTATTGTGAATTCGGTGAAGGTTTACAGACTAGAGCATCAGTTTTACATTCCACAAACCACACACTTTGTTTTATCCAATGAGTGCAATCCACTCTATGTAACATCACTGAGCCCACTTCCTCCCTGTGGTTCTTATTTGCATTTCTCTGTCTTTCCCCACCCTTCTGAACTTTGACCTTGGGTAAATGCTGCCCTTTTGATCACAAATGGTTGCACATTCAGATGGTTTGCTACCTCACTAGTGTTACTGCTTCCTCTATGTTATTCTTGTTGTGTGCCTTCCAGAAGGATCTGACTCATAGCAACACTATATAGGGTTTCAGAGAACAACTGATGGGTTTGCCTACCTTTCAGCGTAATGGTTACGAATCAGGCTGCGAACTGCAAGGTCAGCAGTTCGAAACTACCAGCTGTTCTGCGGGAGAAAGATGAGGCTTTCTGCTCCCGTAAAGATTTACAGCCTCGGAAACCCTGTACAGGGTCGCTATGAGTCGGAACCGACTCCACGGCACATAACTACCACCACCACTACCACCTTTCTAGTGCTTGTCCCAGTAAGTTGGGTTCAATGTTCACTGTGATGTGGAAGAATGCACATCGTAGGGCAAGCATGGGGCATCTTAGTAAGAGAGTGCTTGAAAGAACTTACAGGAAATGGGCTGTGTTTGGTGATTTGTGGGAAGGTTCAAGGAAACAGGGCTTTCTTCTGGATTAGATAGTGTCAGAAGGTACAGGCAATTCTATGATTAGAATTGTCATCAAGTTTATCTATGAGGTAGGAGGAGTGAAGCAAGGCACCAGCTGTCACTTACATCTTTGTTGTTGTTGTTAAGTGCCGTCAAGTCAGTTTCGACTCACAGTGGCCCTGCACAGGGTTTCTAAGGCTATAAATCTTTGTGGGAACAGAATACCTCACCTTTCTCCCACAGAGCGACTGGTGGGCTTGAACTGTCGACTTTGAGGTCCACAGTCCAGTGCTTCTGCTACAAAGCCACCACGTGCCTATCACTTGTATTATTATAATGTATGATATTAACACATTAAGACATTAACCAGGATCTAGGGGATGCTTAGTCAGTTGTGTGGTTTGCACAATGCTCTGTTTGTTTCTGTGTTCAGACATGATCGTGGTGTGGTCCTGATTTTGTCTTGAGCCATCAGGACACAGAATGGCCTTGTCTGATGTCTGTGTGCTATGAGGTTGTTTATGCTCAGCAGGAGAACCCCAGGGCCTTGCTGTGAGTGCCAGGCAGGCTCCTGGCCATCAGGGTTGTTTGTGTTTCTGACCTGGAACACTACCAGCTTTCTCGTTCACACCCTCTCCAGTCCTCTTCCTTTTTGATACAGAATTCACAGTGCCCTTGTTTTTTATTAAAGAATAACACACATTCAGTGAAGGGCATAGGAATGCAGCTCGGTGATTCCTTACCTAGTTGTTAATTGCTGTCGACTCAATTCCAACTCATGGGAATGCCGTGTGTGCAGAGAACTGCTCCACGGGGTTTTCAAGGCTGTGACCTTTGGGAAACATTGCCAGGCTTATCTTCTGAGGCACATTTGGGGGATTCGAACCAATAACTTTTCTGCTAGCTGAACTGTTTGCACCACCCAGCCACTCTGCTACATAATGTATACATGCAAGACCACTCCCCAGATATAGGTAGTGGGGGGTCTCTCCCGATTGCTCCTTCTGGGTAATGCTCTCCAAAGGAATCCACTGATCTAATTTCTATCAGGTTCATTTTTATTATTTTCTTTTCTTTAAAAGTTATTGTAAAAAATATACATATAACACACCACTTGCCAATTCAACATTGTTTTACACTTACAATTGAGTGTGTAAAATTGCATTAACCAATTCCATTCACCATGTTGTTAGCTTAGTTCGGATGGTTCTAGACCTTTCATGGAAATGGAATGGACACAATATATTCTGTTTCAGCATAATGTTTTTGAGATTTCTGTGTTGTTGCATACTGAGTAGTTGATCTTTTTCAATGCTATGTCGTCCTAGTGTGGCACTGGATTGCTAACCTCAAGGTCAGTGATTCAAACCCATCAGCCACTTCTTGGAAACTCTGTGCAGGGACACTGTGAGTTGGAACCAGCTTGATGGCACTTTTCAACAACATCTCACTGGGCTCATGAACCAGCCTTTATTTTTTTCATTCACTGCTCGGTGGATTTTGCATTATTTCCCAGAATGGTTATATTAAAAAGCAAGTCTTATCACATCTTCCAACAGATGTTCCCATTGCTACCCTATATAGGGTTTCTGAGACTGTAAACCTTCACAGGAGCAGATGGCCTCATCTTTGTCCCTTGGAGTGGCTGGGGGGTTGAAACCCATGACCTTGCAGTTAGCAGCTAGCACTTAACCCACAGTGCCACCGGAGTGCCTTAGCATCTTGAAGCTCCTTCACTTCTTTCAGACTAAATCCCAATTTCTTCTCAGGACCTTAAAGGCCCTGACTATCTGGCCCCTGCCTGCCTCTCTGCTTCAGTTTCCATCCCTGTTTCCTTTGTCTTTTGAACTCCAGACACACTGGTCTCCCGTTTTGATTTGAATAGTCAGTGGTGGGTCAGTTGAGAAGAGGAAGACCCCCCAATGAGATGGATTGGCACAATGGCAGCAACAGTGGGCTCCCACACAATTGTGAGGATGGCACAGACTCCAGGTAGCTTTTCTTCTGGTGTGCAGAGGGTTGGAACCGACTTGATGACCCAGAACAATAAACAACAACAACTTCTCCACATCTTTAGGCATGCTACCACACCCACCTGATGTTTTTTGTCACCAGTACCCCCCTGCCCTACCTGCTTTGCTTGGTCTTTGAGGTCTCTATTCAAATCCCAAAGGAGCTCTGGTAGCATAGTGGTTATGAATCGGACTGCTAACCTCAAGGTCAGCAGTTCGAAACTACCAGCCGTTTCACGGGAGAAAGATGAGGCTTTAGGCTCCTGTAAAGATTTATAGCTTCGGAAACCCTGTAAAGGGTCACTATGAGTGGGAACTGACTCGATGACACACCACCACCACTAAAGCCCCCCAGGCACAGGGAAGCCTAACAGAGCAGCCCCTTCCTGTAGATTTCACCCCTGCTTGTAGCTGTCTACACTTCTTCCCTCATTGTCCTACTCTCAACGGTAAATAACAATGTGTACGGTTATTTGTTAATATCGTCTCCCCATTAGACTGAGCTCTGAGTCCGCAAGACTGGCTTCTGTCTTAACTCTCCCAGGCCAAAATCCTGTGCACGCTGCAGACAGATGCTCATTAAGAATTTAGAATGGTTGAATCCCACCCCCAAATTCAGATTTCCTTTTTCTCCCTAGAACTTTCAGGAAAATAGGACTACCACCCAATTCTTCCTTGGCAAGTACATGGGGCAGGGGCGGCTCTCCCAGTGGGTGACGCACCGACAAGTGAGGGCCCCGCCTCGCAGCGGACGCTGACTTGGTCTGGTTGGGTAAGACCAAGGTTGCCTGGGGGGTGGTTACTCATCCCTAGCTCAGGTAAGAGGGCCCAGGTTGGGAGGCGGCACACGCAGGGGGGACGCTGAGGGAGCAGGACGGAGCCATGGACCCTGCCAGGAAACCAAGTATCTCAGCGGTGATGCGGACAGCTGGTTGGCTCCTGCTGCTTCCATTATTGCTTCTGGAAGGTGGGTCTGCTGCCGGGAGCGGTGAGTGGGTAGATCTAGGGAAGAGACTTCCCGGATCCCACACATCGATGGCTGTGGGAGAAATTTTTCCATCCTGAGCAGAGGGGGCTGTGAAAAGAATAAAAGTTGTGAGAAGAATCCCACCGGTGTCCCATGGGCTGAGAATTTTCCCATAGAGGAAAATTCTATCTTGAGCAGAGGGGACAGTGAGAAGGACCCCCTAACCTGGTCTGGGGGGGGGCTGTGGGGAGAGGCTCCCATCATGGGCAGAGGCTCCCATCATGGGCAGAGAGGGTCCCTCAGTATGGGAAGAGACCGTGAGAAAAATTCTCCCATCTTGAGCAGAGGGGTCGATGGGAAGGGTCCCCAATCATTAACAGAGAGGATGTGTGAAGGGACCCTTCATTCTGAGCCGAATGAAAAGTTCTCCCATTCTGAGCCGAAAGTCAAGGGCTGAAAATCCCCTATGACTGAGTTGTCTCCAGTGGCAGGGATCGCCCACAGGGGCTATGGGAGGGGAGTTTTCACTCTAGACACAGGGGGCTTGAAGGAAAAAGGACTCAGCGAATTCCGGGCTCCGAGGTTTTTGGGAAGACTGTCTTTCCCTCCTCCTGCCCCGGAAAAGTTTGTGTAGTGATGGACGGTCTCATCTTGGGGACAAAGGGCGTGGGAAGCAGCGTTTTCCCTTTGGGGGAGGAGGCTTCCGCAGAGGTGGTTCAGTTCTACCCGGCCCCCCACCTCCAGGAGCGAAGGCCTTGGAATGCTACAGCTGCGTGCAGAAAGCAGATGATGGGTGCTCTCCGCACAAGATGAAGACCGTGAAGTGCGCGCCGGGCGTGGATGTGTGCACAGAGGCCGTGGGGGCGGTGGAGACCAGTAAGTGGGGACCCCGGGTCCAGGCACAAGATTCAGGACCCTCCAGCCGGGCCCCCGCATCTTCCCTTGTAGCCCCGCCCCTCTGCACCTGGTCACACCTTTCCAGCGCCCCCGTCCTTCAGGCCCGCCTGGGCTCTTCAACTGAGCTGCACCCCTCACTTTAGGCCTGTCCTTCCTCAGGCTTAGGGTGGTGCGAGTCTGACAGTTGCCAACTGGGTAGGGTCTTACAACCGCGTCCACCCTTCTGGACCTTCGCCCTTTTTGTGGGTACACTCTAGTCATTTCTGCTCTACCACGGACACTTCCTTGCTCCCTTCTGTCCCTGCTGGAATTCTCCCCTACCCAACTCAGGTGATGGAGGGCCCCTCTCAGAATTCTACTGGGTTTCCCCAGTCTGAGGCCCAGCCCTTCTGTGGAAGCCCCTCCCCTTTAGAGTAGGCGCATGATGCTTCCCATTCTAAGGCCTTCTTCCCTAGAAGCTCCATCCCTCTCCGATCCTGTGTGTGTGTCTCGATTCCTTCTGATAAGGCTGTCTGCTGCCTCACCCTCTTTGGCCATACCCAATTCTAGTTCCCCGCGTGGCCTTTCCCCCTTCAATTGTCCCTGTCAGTTTGTCTAATCCTTTGGACCCAGTTTATGGATTCCACATCTCCATGCCCCCAACCCTTCCATCCTTCTTCAGTCTGCCATTCTTCCCTCTCCGATTTTTCTTGAGACCCTAGTCCTCTGATCTTGAGTTGTCTAGTCTGTTAGTTATCAAGCCGATTCCTCTCTTGGCGACCCCAGGTGAGCAGAGTAAATTTGCTCCATAGGATTTTCAAGGTTATGGGCTTTCGGACGAAGATCGCCAGGCTAATCTTTCGAGGCGCCTCTGGGTGGGTTTATAACCACCAACCTTACGGCTAATAGTCTAAGGGCTTAACCGTTTGCCCCACCCAGGTATCATTCTATTCGAGGCCCCGCCCCTTTGAAGCCTCGCTCTCCTCTGACCCCGCCCCTTCTCCGCAGTCCACGGGCAGTTCTCGGTGGCAGTGCGGGGATGTGGTTCGGGACTCCCCGGCAAGAATGACCGCGGACTGGATCTTCACGGACTTCTGGCCTTCATCCAGTTGCAGCAATGCTCCCAGGATCGCTGCAACACCAAGCTTAACCTCACCTCGCGAGCTCTCAACCCCGCAGGTGATTGGGGTCATAGGCCCAGCAGCAGGACTACAGTGAGGCTAAGTAACCACACTGTGATTGCTGGAGGGAGAACTGGATGCTGACCGGTCGGGGCCACACTCTAGGATGGAGCTTCCGAGATAGCTGGCGGGACTTTGTTGGTGTAGTTTAGACGAGATTGGACGTCAGGGGCCGCGCTATGGGCATAGGGGCGTGTCTTATTGGATGGGCGTGGCCGAGGCGTGGCTAGAAATCTAAGTTAGAAATCCATTGAAGGGTGGAGACCTGGGCTGGAGTGGCCAGGACCTCTGATAGATTCTCCAGCCCTAGCGACCCCTTCCTTTTCTTGCAGGCAATGAGAGTGCTAACGAGTCCAACGGCGCGGAGTGCTACAGCTGCGTGGGGCTGAGCCGCGAGGCGTGCCAGGGTTCGGCACCACCCGTTGTAAAGTGCTACAATGCCAGCGACAACTATTACAAGGGCTGTTTTGATGGTAACGTCACTTTGACGGCAGGTGAGCGGTTCCCGGAGCACATAGGAGTTGTGGCAGGCTTTCTGAAGCATTGTGGGCGATGCAGCCTTTTACTCAAAGGATTCCGCCACCTCCAGTGCATTGTGAGAAACCGTAGTCCTAAATTCTTGCTTAGAGCATCATGTCCCTAATACAACGTGGTGATGGAGATATTTTTGTTCTAGCGTTGTTTGAGGAAATACGCTTTCATAGAGAGCTGACAGGTGCAGAATGGGATGGCTAGCTATGAGAAGTGTAGTTAAGTCTCTAAGCTCTTGTCCGGGTGCTGCGGGTAGTAAGTGTTCTGACCCCTTAAACTCAAGGAGTCAAGGCTCGCTCGTGTCCCGGAGAATTGGGAGAGACATAGCTCAGCTTTCCTAGCCTCTGCCTCAGGGAACCATGGGAGATGGACCATCGCTGCACGATGGGAGAGGTATTCTGACTCTTAGACTAAATTTTGACAGTCAGGGAGAGGACAACCAAGAGGACAGGGCAGGGCGTAGGGGGATGCTTGTTTCTGCTCTTTGTGCCAGAGATGCTCAATTGCTGTCCAAACTTTTGTTCCAAGGCATTGTGGGACTTGTAGTTCAGCGAGTACAATTTTCCTCTCAAAGTACTATGGGAAATGTGAATTGCCACATGCAAAGACTGTGAGTGGGACAGGGTTTCTCAAAGTGAGATCTGAGTTGAGACTTTTCGGATTAAGGGATGTAGAGCCCTTCTGTTCCTTTTTTTAGGGGGGATTCTCTGCTCCCCATCTTACTCGTGGTGGTGGTGTGCCGTGGAGTCGGTTCCGTCTTCTAGAGACCCTGTATAGGGTTTCTGAGTCTGTAAATCTTTATGGAAAGATTATGGAAAGCCTCATCTTTCTACCACCGAACCGCTGGTAGTTTCAAATTGCTGATCTTGAGGTTAGCAGTCCGACTCGTAACCACTGCGATACCATTTTACTCCTGTTAAGTGCCGTGGAGTTGGTTCGCACCCATAGAAACCCTGTATAAGGTCTCCAAGGAGCGGCTGGTGAGTTTGAACCACCGACCTTGGGGCTCAAATCGACTTTTCAGCCCAGCGCATTAGCCCATAGCATCACACCCGGACGCTATCTTACTCCTGTTGTTGTGAAGTGCGGTTGAGTCAGTCTGACTCATAGTGACCCTGTATAGGGTTTCCAAGGAGCGGCTGGTGAGCTTGAACCGCCAACTTTGTAGCTCAAGCTGACTTTGCAGTTCAGCGCATTAACCCACAACGCCACACCAGGACTCCTAATGATCCCAAATTTCATTTTGTCTGTATCCTTCCCACCATTGACCAATTGTGTCTCCCTTTGCAGCCAATGTGACTGTATCCTTGCCCGTCCGAGGCTGCGTCAAGGACGAGCTCTGCACCCGTGATGGGGTGACAGGCCCAGGGTTTGTGCTCAGCGGTTCATGCTGCCAGGGGTCCCGCTGTAACTCCGATCTCCGCAACAAGACCTACTTTGCCTCTCGAATCCCTCCCCTTGTCCTGCTGCCCCCTCCTCAGCCCACCACTCCAGCCCTGACCACCTCTATCACTACGACCACCCCCGCCCCCACCACCCCCGCTGCTACTACCAAACCCAGCCCAGCGACGACGACAGCCAGCCAGATTTCTCTTGAGGAAGCAGAACCGGAGGCCTCCCAGGAAAAGGGGCCCCGTGTGGTTGGAGGTGCTGCTGGTCACCAGGACCGCAGTAATGTGGGGCAACACCCCTCAAAAGGTGGAGTCCAGGACCCCTCTAATGGCTCTGAGGCTCCATTGGTTGCATTGGCAACTCTACTGCTGGCTGTGGCTACTGGCACCCTACTGTGAGTTTCCCCACCTAAGGACCTCTGCCTTACCTTACTACTCTGGCCCTGGGCACCCACTTCCCCCACCCCGCAGTGGACTGGGCTGGCCCAGCCCCTATTCTGCTAATCTCTCAGGACCCTCAGTTCCCGCTGTGCTGGTTTGCAGCGTTGGGAATTAAAGTCACTGTTGTATATAACCTGCCAGGGTCTTCTAGACTTTTAGGGTATTTTGACTGAAACTTGCACCTCTTTGCCCTTCCTTCATCCCCTCTTGGTGCCGGGAGGAGGGTGAGAGAAATCAAAACTGTTGCTGGAAAAGGGGACAAACAATGATAAGTTGTCGATGTGCCGGGTGGAAGGGGAGAAATCATGGTTCCACCTCCCGGTCACTGCTACCCCCTGACCCTCCATCTTTGTGGGAATCGCTTCCCAGTCTGTCTCCCTTAATAGACTGTAAGCCCCTCAAGGGCAGGGACTGTGCCTTATGGCTCTGTGTTGCCAGTTTCTGGTACTTGAAGGACTCAATAAAAAGTTACTTTGTATAGGAGTCATTTCATCTCGTTTCTCCTGGTAATATCTAGAAGCTGAGCTGCCTTGGGAATGCCAAAGCTTTTACTAGAGAAGTTGAGCTCTAGAGCCACAGCCCAGGGGAAGAGTTGAAATTTGAATTCCCTTCATTTCCTGGGAACTAGCTAAGTTGTAAGGAGCCCTGGTGAAACAGTACTTAGCTGCTCACTGAAAGGATAATAGTTTGAACCCATCCACTGCTGTGCAGGAGAAAAGACCTGGTGATGTGTTCTCATTAATACAGTTGTTATTATACATGTCACTGAGTCACTTCTGATTGTAGTGCTCTAGGATAAGCACTGAACCTCAAGGTTGCTGGTTCAAACTCACCAGTCACTCCTTAGAAACCCTATATGGGGTAGGTATGACTTGGAACCAACTCGATGGCACTTAACAAAAAACAAAACAAAATGCATAACAGAATGAAACCTTGCCCAGTCCTGCACCATCCTCACGGTTGGTATGTTTGAGCCCATTGTTGCTGCCACTGGGTCAATCCATCTTGTTGAGGATTTCCCTCTTTTTTCACTGACCCTCCATGTTACCAAGCATGATGTCCTTCTCCAGGGACTGATCCCCCTTGACCAAAGTGTGAGAGCCAGACTCTTGTCATCTTCCCTTCTAAGGGACAGTCTAGTGTACTTCTTCTAAGACAGATTTATTTGTTCTTCTGGCAGATCAAGGTACTTTCAATATTCTTCGTCAACACCCTAGGAAATCCTATGGAGCATTTCTGCTCTACTTCAAAAGGTCATTATGAGTTGGAATCAACTCTATAGCATTCAAGACCAACAACAGCTTATGGATGATCCCACTGGTGAGGGGGAGACTGGCCAAACCATTAAACAACATTAGTGGTGAATTTTTTTTTAAAGCAACACTAGGAGCTGAGAGTGAAATGTCCAGCTGATATGAAGTTGGGGAAGATGTGCAAGAACTCCCAAGCTTACAGATAGTACCCATTTCACCTACCTTTGATCGCTTGATGACCAGAGCTTGACTAGAGGAAGATAAAGAAATTTGATACAGGAAGCAAGTGTAAATTGCTACAATTTGATGAACTTGACTTATGCTTATGGATGTAGTAGTAGCTCAAAACACCAAGCGAGAGGGAAGGAGTCTTCACTTCAAAGCTCAAGCCTATCACCTTAGTATACAGGATTTATAGGGACAGGCAACTTAGATATTGGCTACCTAAAAGGCACAAAGTGGCTGGCTTGCAAGTTTCAAGAGGGAATTTAGTTTCAGAGTGTGTGGGGGATGGTAGAGTCCCCACTGACTAGTTGTCATCTTGTCTAGATGGGTCTGGTGAAAGGAGATGGGGACAGGATGCTTTTGATTCAATAGTGAGTAATTGCTATCATGACTAGTTGAGATTTTCACAACTGTAAAGGTAGAAGTTTTGTAACACAAAGCGGGGAGTAGTTAATCTTATATTCCAGGAACAGAGGACACTAGGACCAAGAGAGAAGAGCATGAGCAGAATGTGGGACCCTAATCAGAGAAGTAGCAACACCAGAGATGTAGGCAGAGGTGATGGCATGGAGACAGAGCAACTGAGGACTCTAGACTCATGGAAAGAGAAAAGCTGTGTGCTGGTGCCCAGGAGGCTGGCTTGAAGAATGTACCTTTTGGTGTTTTAAGAGATTATATATTCCTGAGTGTTTCTGTGTACATCAAAAAGAAAACAAAAACAAAACTCAACAACAGAGGGGATAGAAGCAAATACTATTAAATGATGATACATGTAATCATTGCAATGAGAGAAAATCTGATAGGATGAGTACAAAACTGATGTTTTACCATGTAAACTATCACTCAATTCACAATAAAAATTTAAAAAAGAAGAGAAAAGAGAGGCAATCTTACTCACATTTTACAGAAGGGGTAAAATTTTACAGAATCTCAGAAAGAGTAAATGATCACCCAAATTCACATCACTAGAATATTTCTCCCATAGGATTTACTAAAGTGTTACTGAGTTCAATTTACTAATCTTATCATTTTAGCACTACATATTGCATCTATTTATGTACATATTAAATGAAATGTCTTCATTTCATAATGAAAAAAAAAAGCAGTGCTAGGAACTAGAGGGAGTTCCTAGGTGGGGCAAAAGGTTGGAGATTTGTGTTCAACAAGAGGTGCCTTGGAAGAAATGCCTGGCTATCTACTTCAGAAAAAATTACCATTACAGGCCCTCTGGAGCACAGCTCTACTCGGACACACATGGAGTAGCCATGAGCAGACATGGCACCTGATAATTGGTAGAGAGAAAAAGGAAACTTTACCTGTGCCCTCCCCACATCTTCCCCACTTTACCATCCATCTGGTTTACTAAGAATCAGTCAGTAGGCTCACCCACTGCCCCTTGCTTTCCCAAAGGGGTTAAGGGTGCTGTTGTCCATCTTTGCTGCATATTGGGGGCCTGAGGTCTGAATCCCACCTTCATTTCCTTCCAAAAAGTTGGAGGCTTGGCTGTAGAGACCCAAGGTTGGAAAATCCTGTCTTGAGGGTGGGGAGTCTTTGTAGGCTTTGGAACAGCTTGATGGGAAAAGGATTCGATATAGGGAATAGTAAAATGTTAATAGTAATATTGCTAACATTATTAATAATGGGAAGTAAAATGAAGTAATGATAATAATAATAAAACAGCAGTAAATTATGATTGTTGTTGTTGTGAAGTGCTGTTGAATCAATTCTGATGCATAGCAACCCTGTATAGGATTTCCAAGGAGCAGCTGGTGGGTTTGAACCACTGACCTTGTAGTTCTCAGTCCAGTGCTGATCCTACAGTGCCACACCAGAATTCCATAAAGAATGATTATAGTAGCAAAATAGAGAATGAATGTGAAGGCATGAGCAACTTCTTTTATTAAGTTGGATACAGAAATGTCATATGACCCAGCAATCCCTTCTACTTGATCTATGTCCTAGAGAAATAATAAATAGACATATGTACACCCATGTTTATCACACTATTCACAATAACAAAAAGATGGAAATACCCTGTATGACCATCAGTGGAAGAGACAAACTATGGTACGTTCACACAATGGAATTCTACACAGTGTTCGAGAATAGTGATGAGTCTATGGAACAGCTCATAACATGGACAAACTTGGACAGCATTATGCCGAGTGAAATAAGTTAATCACAAAAGGACAGATATCATATGAGAATCACTGTTGGAAAAAGTCAAGAAAAGGTTTTTACTATAAAAGAAACATTCTTTGATGGTTACCAGAGGTGGGATGGGAAGGAAAGGTAAATTACTGGCTGGAGGGTGGCAAAAAACAAAAACAAAATTTGCATGAGTTTTTGAATGGAAAACCAACTTGTTCTGTAAACTTTCACCCAAATCATAATAAAAAGTATAACAACAACAATGATAAAATGAGCAGAAGCAGGAATGTAAATTGTTTTGTTGTTAAATGCCATCAATTTGGTTTCAACTCATAGTGACCCTATATAGGGTTTCTGAGGAGTGGTTACTGACCTTGTGATTAGCAGTCCAGTGCTTATCCCACAGAATACAGTCATTTTAGTTACAGGAATGTCAGTGATTAAGAAAGTCTACCAGGGGTCAGACCTGTATTAAGGATTTATGAATGAATCATCTCATCTAAATTTCCACATAAATTCCCTGGTGGAATGATGGGGGAAACTGAGGTTCAGAATGGTGAAGTAATTAATCTGGAGCAAGCAAAACATTTATTATGTGCCAATACTTTTTCAAATGCCTTACTTGTATTAACATGTTTAATCTACATAACAACTCTATGAAGTAAATACTAAACATTTGCATTTTATAAGATGAGGAAAACCAGGCCCAAAGAGGTTGAGAAACTTGCCCACATCACTCAGTAAAATGCAGTGAATTACTTACAGCTCTTAATTGTAATTAAATGACTGGGTGGGGCTATGCTAATGAATACTTGTTGCTTACCAAGGGGATTGGATACCTTGCTAATAATGTAAATAAGGTGCATGGGACCTTGAAGTGGTGGGGTCATGCAAATGAGGTGTATGGAACCCTAACATGGTTTTTTTTTGTCATCTGCTAGGTTTAAAGGAAATTGGAGATGAGTGGGGGATAGGGGGAGCTGGGATGGGGGTGTGAGGCTCTTGTTTTTAATTTTCTTCAGTTTCAACCCAAACTTGCAATGAGCTGTTCCACAGCCAGCCCCTGGCCTTATTTTGGCTGATGATTTTGAACTTTTCCACTATCTCTTCCCACAGATGTAGTCAATTTGATTCTTGTGAATTCCATCTGGTGAGGCCCATGTGTATAATCACCTTTTATGTGCTTTTAAAAAAGTATTTACAATGAGTAAGTCTTGCAAAATTCTGTCATGTGATCTCTAGCATCATGTCTATTGCCAAGACCATAGTTTTCAACTACTGATCCCTCCTTTTTGTTTCTAACCATTGCATTACAATCACCATAATAAT